ATAGCGGATTTGTTGCAAAGATATTAAAAAAAAGAAAACACTTATATCCATCACTTGTGTGGAGAGATCATTCTCTCGTTCATCATGTTGTCTTTCTAATTGCTCTAGCCTAGCCTTTATTTCATTCGAACTTGCTTCAAGCTTCTTAAGTATCAAATATAACTGCTTTTGTTGAGTGAACATTCACTCATCAATTTGCTGTTTGTAATTTTAATGATTGTTTCCTTAATTATAAAAATAAAAAAAAAAAAAAAAAGAATCTGAATCTGAAAATTGTCAAAAAAAAATAAAAAAAAAGCCTTATATATGTACTATATTGATTATGTGTACGATTTTAATTTTCTGATCTTATATCACTATCACATGATAGAGATCTATCTTGTGATCGTTGTCTTGTAAAATATCATTAAGGTAAGGATAATGATCGATCATGATCGCTATGGCAAGATATAGGGCGAGATCTAGATTCACGGTGAGATCTAGATTCATGGTGAGATCTAGATTCATGGTAGGTTGTAGGTTCAGTTTGAGAAGTGGAGAAAGGCTGGTGAGATACAGATTCACAATGAGACCTTGATTTATGGTGGATTGTAGATTCGGTTTGAGAATTGGAGGAAGGCTAGTAAGATGCAGAGCCACGACAGGACCTAGATTCATGGTGGGTTGTAGATTCATTTTGAGAAGTGGAGGAAGGCTGGTGAGATACAAATTCACGATGGAAGCGGTGGAAGATGGTTGGCATGATTGATATCGACCGCTTATATTTGAAACCATTCGTTGAATACTTCTAACGCTTCTAAAGGTTGAATCAGAAGAAGAACCATCATTATTAGGATTAGGTGGTTGATGAGGTTTAGCAATATCATTATTATTAGGGTTTAAAAGTCGAGAGATATTGGATTGGGAATGAGAAACAGGTCTTGCGGAATATGGTGGTGTACTGTATTATTTCCAGTTTTGTTTTCCATTATCAAAATTTGTTTATTAAAAATTTTTTTTATTATACCTTTTGTGTTAAGCCTGTGTATTTATATTTAATAAAACTATTGCGCAAGAAGAAAACAAATTAATATCTAACGATATCAACCACTTATGATAAAAGAAGATATAATAATACAAGAATACTTATTTATATAAAATTTACTCGCGTAATTAAATTTAAAGTATAATAACACTTATTTATATAAAAATTTATATGTGTCATTAAATATAAAGTATTTGAGATTTAAAAAATTGTTTTAGAAAATTAATTACTGATATTGTGATTTTATTCTCTCTGCTAATAGTTGAGGTCAGGACTGCTTTTAGGAAGAGATTGAACTAGTCGGACTGTCCATCCCTATTTATAGTATGTAGTTCAAATAAGTTATACAATACTACTAGCTTTATACAAAATTATGCTTGCTATAATATCGATATATATTGAACTATAAATATTTGTATATAGTGTGTAGTTCAAATAAGTTATACAATACTACTAGCTTTATACAAAATTATGTTTGCTATAATATCAATATATATCAAACTATAAATATTTGTATACGTATCATTATTTTTAATAAGGTATTTAGGAAGGCTGATCCAAACTGGTATCAGGACAGGAACCAGTTAACTATAAGATTGGTTAAAAAGACCAGTCTTTCTAGGACCAATCTGTCCCTAATATTAAATATAAACTTTATTACTGTATCTATACTATCGTTTTATTGCTATTGTTTCTATATTATATTAGATATTGATTACTAGTATACTTATAAATCACTTTGGTTCATTTGTAATTAATAATCATAACAAAAGGAACTCTTGACGATATTCTATTTCTGTAGAACATTCATAACTTTAATATTTTGAACAAAAATGCTAAGTTGCGCTATGATTGCTAATAATATTATTTGCAATTTATAGAGGTTGATTTATTGATATGTATCGATCATATTAAAAGTTTGAGATTTCAATATAATAAAGATAATTTACTAGTTTAAATAGATTATATAATATATCAATGACAATTTTTGTAATTAAATTAATTAAAATATAAAGTTTATTTTGTTTAGTGTGTTATGTCATCAAAACATTATTCGATAAATTGCTTGATCGAAAACAAATTTATTCATTAGATATATATATATTTGTTTTAATCGATATATATCGCTTTAGATTTACATAACTCATATTCTTTTTATTAAACTCCAGTTTATTTTTTTACATCTAAAAACCTATTATTTTCGTACTAATCGATATATATCGCTTTAACAATTTAGTTATTCATATAACTTCTAATTGCTTTAAACTAATTTCTTTTCATTATTCGATCTCTCTTATTTTATTTTTTTTATTAGTTTTTTTTATTTATATCTTTTTTTTTTTTTCAAATGCGTTGGTTGTGTGAGTATTGCAAGCAAGAGTTTTCAAAACCTTATACTTTAGCACAACATATTTTGCAAAGGCACCCTTATAGCCAAGATGATGCAAATCAAATTGCTTCTATTGAGCAATTTGATGATTCTATCTGGCAACTTTCAGATTATAACAATTATAGTTCAAGTGATGAATATTCTACAGATTATGAAATAATTTATAAGTTTATTATAGATAAAGTAATGCTCATAGTAAAAGTGAGAATAGAACTATATATTATATAGTCCCATTTCTGCTTTTTGCTATGGGCATTACTATATAACAATTATTAACGAATGCTAAAGATTTGTTTATTTGTAGAATGAAAGTACATCATTTCAGTCTGAATTAGATTCAGATAATTCTGATATTATAAAAACAGAATCATTAGCAAACGATAGTTATTTTATGGATTATGAGCTATCTCAAGAAGTATCGACTAATATTGATCCTAAAGATTTTGAAGGTG